AAGACCCTAATGCTGGAGAAGATTGAAGGCAGGAGGAGGCGGGGACAACAGAGGATGCGATGGCTGGATGGCATCACTGACTCAATGGACATGAGTTTGAGCAAGCTCCAGGAGTTGGTTACGGACAGGGAGGCCTGGCCTGCTGCAGTACACGGGGTCATAAAGAGTCGTACACTACTGAGTGACTGAACTGACTGAAACATTTTATATTTATAAAAAGTATAATCCACTATGAGTGTATGCTAGCTATGTACTAAAAAACAGCCCTAAAGTAAAATAAGCAAATCTTGTTAGAAAACCAGGCAACATTAACAGAAAAACCATAATAAAAAGATATTCTAATAAAAAAAAATCTCCTTTTCAGTTCAGTTCAGTCTCTCAGTTGTGTCTGACTCTTTGTGACCCCATGAACCACAGCATGCCAGGCCTCCCTGTCCATCACCAACTCCCAGAGTTCACCCAAACCCATGTCCATCGAGTTCATAATGCCATTCAACCATCTTATCGTCTGTCGTCCCCTTCTCCTCCTGCCCTCAATCTTTCCCAGCATCAGGGTCTTCTCAAATGAGTCAGCTCTTCGCATCAGGTGGAAAAAGGATTGGAATTTCAGCTTCAGCATCATTCCTTCCAATGAACACCTGGGACTGATCTCCTTCGAAGGATGGACTGGTTGAATCTCCTCGCAGTCCAAGGGACTCTCAAGAGTCTTCTCCAACACCACAGTTCAAAAGCATCAATTCTTCTGTGCTCAGCTGTCTTCATAGTCCAACTCTCACATCCATACATAACCACAGGAAAAACCATAGCCTTGACTAGATGGACCTTTGTTGGCAAAGTACTGTCTCTGCTTTTTTTTTTTCATTTATTTTTATTAGTTGGAGGCTAATTACAATATTGTAGTGGTTTTTGCCATATATTGACATGAATCAGCCATGGACTTACATGTGTTCCCCATCCTGTACTCCCCTCTGACCTCCCTCCCCATCCCATCCCTCTGGGTCGTTTCAGTGTACCAGCCCCGAGCACTTGTCTCATGCATCCAACCTGGACTAGCGATCTGTTTCACACTTGATAATATACATGTTTCGATGCTGTTCTCTCAGATCATCCCACCCTCCCCTCTCCCACAGAGTCCAAAAGTATGTTCTATACATATGTGTCTCTTTTTCTGTCTTGCATATAGGGTTATTATTACCATCTTTCTAAATTCCATATATATATATATATATGCTAGTATACTGTATTGGTGTTTATCTTTCTGGCTTACTTCACTCTGTATAATAGGCTCCAGTTTCATCCATCTCATTAGAACTGATTCAAATGAATTCTTTTTAATGGCTGAGTAATATTCCATGGTGTATATGTACCACAGCTTCCTTATCCATTCATTTGCTGATGGGCATCTAGGTTGCTTCCATGTCCTGGCTATTATAAACAGTGCTGTGATGAACATTGGGGTACACGTGTCTCTTTCAGTTCTGGTTTCCTCGGTGTGTATGCCCAGGAGTGGGATTGCTGGGTCACATGGCAGTTCTGTTTCCAGTTTTTTAAGGAATCTCCACACTGTTCTCCATAGCGGCTGTACTAGTTTGCATTCCCACCAACAGTGTAAGAGGGTTCCCGTTGATCCACACTCTCTCCAGCATTTATTGCTTGTAGACTTTTGGATAGCAGCCATTCTGACTGGCATGTAATGGTACCTCATTTTGGTATTGATTTGCATTTCTCTGATAATGAGTGATGTTGAGCATCTTTTCATGTGTTTGCTAGCCATCTGTATGTCTTCTTTGGAGAAATGTCTGTTTAGATCTTTGGCCCACTTGTTGATTGGGTCATTTATTTTTCTGGAATTGAGCTGCAGGAGTTGCTTATATATTTTTGAGATTAATCCTTTGTTACTTCATTTACTATTATTTTCTCCCATTCTGAAGGCTGTCTTTTCACCTTGCATATAGTTTCCTTTGTTGTGCAAGAGCTTTTAAGTTTCATTAGGTCCCATTTGTTTATTCTTGCTTTTATTTCCAATATTCTTGGAGGTGGGTCATAGAGGATCTTGCTGTGATTTATGTTGGAGAGTGTTTTGCCTATGTTATCCTCTAGCAGTTTTATAGTTTCTGCTCTTATATTTAGATCTTTAATCCATTTTGAGTTTATTTTTGTGTATGGTATTAGAAAGTGTTCTAGTTTCATTCTTTTACAAGTGGTTGACCAGTTTTCCCAGCACCACTTTTTAAAGAGGTTGTCTTTTTTCCATTGTATATTCTTGCCTCCTTTGTCGAAGATAAGGTGTCCTTACGTACGTGGGTTTATCTCTGGGCTTTCTATTTTGTTCCATTGATCTATATTTCTGTCTTTGTGCCAGTACCATACTGTCTTGATGACTGTGGCTTTGTAGTAGAGTCTGAAGTCAGGCAGGTTGATTCCTCCAGTTCCCTTCCTCTTTCTCAAGTTTGCTTTGGCTATTCGAGGTTTTTGTATTTCCATACAAATTGTGAAATTATTTGTTCTAGTTCTGTGAAGAAAACCTTTGGCAGCTTGATAGAGATTGCATTGAATCTATAGATTGCTTTGGGTAGTATACTCATGTTCACAATGTTGATTCTTCCAATCCATGAACATGGTATATTTCTCCATTTATTTGTGTCCTCTTTGATTTCTTTCATCAGTGTTCTATAGTTTTCTATGTATAGGTCTTTTGTTTCTTTAGGTAGATTTACTCCTAAGTATTTTATTCTTTTTGTTGCAATGGTGAGTGGTATTGTTTCCTTAATTTTGCTTTCTGTTTTCTCATTGTTAGTGTATAGGAATGCAATGGATTTCTCTGTGTTAATTTTATATCCTGCAACTTTACTATATTCATTGATTAGCTCTAGTAATTTTCTGGTGGAGTCTTTAGGGTTTTCTATGTAGAGGATCATGTCATCTGCAAACAGTGAGAATTTTACTTCTTTTCTTATCTGGATTCCTTTTATTTCTTTTTCTGCCCTGATTGCTGTCCCCAAAGCTTCCAAAACTATATTGAATAGTAGTGGTAAGGGTGGGCACTCTTGTCTTTTCCTGATTTTAGGGGAAATGCTTTTAATTTTTCACCATTGAGGATAATGTTTGCTGTGGGTTTGTTATATAATGTCTCTGCTTTTTAATATGCTATCTAGGTTGGTCATAACTTTCCTTCCAAGCAGTAAGCATCTTTTAATTTCATGGCTGCAACCACCATCTGCAGTGATTTTGGAGCCCAGGAAAACAAAGTCAGCCACTGTTTCCACTGTTTCCCCATCTGTTTGCCATGAAGTGATGGGACCGGATGCCATGATCTTAGTTTTCTGAATGTTGAGCTTTAAACCAACTTTTTCACTCTTCTCTTTCACTTTCATTTTAAGTAGGAAACTGAGGCACTCAGAAATTTAAAAATTTGCCCAAGATCAACGAGATGTGAAGTTGCAATTCATGCCCAAGCAGTGAGACCCTAGAGCTCACTTTTGACATTGTGCAATAATTACTGTCACACCTAGCTTAATGGTTCAGTCCAGCAGTTTTGGAGCAAACGTGTCTTATTTTCAAGCCTTGTGAGAACCAGCTGTAAACCCCAGGCCCTTGACTGATGTGTTCCATTGAGTCAACCCTCATAGATTATTCACCAGAATATGAGTTTTATTTACAAGTTCCCAGGAAGAAACTGTTCGGCCAGCCTGGGTCAGATACCATTCACTGATCAAATGGGTTGTTATCAGGGAGCAGGATAAAGAGGCATGTGGGGCAAATGTACCATCAACACACAGGTATCTACTAAAATACTAAATAAATGTGGGGAAAGGCACAATTATTCAGGAGGAAGATTTCTGCCCAAAAGAAGGAAAAATGTTCAAATCATTGACGTGCTACAGCTAAAATGGGCTGAAGCTGAGCTGGACACCACCATGGTTAATGGTCTATTGAGACAGATCTTTTTTTATTAAAAAAATTATTGCAATGTAGTTGATTTATAATGTTGTGCTAGTTTCAGCAAAGTGAATCAGATATGCATATACATATATCCATTCTTTTTTAGATTCTTTTCCCATATAGGTCATTACAGAGTATTGAGTAGAGTTCTTTGTGCTATATAGTAGGTCTTTATTAGTTTTCTATTTTATATATAGCAGTGTGTATATATCAGTGTCAGTCTCCCAATTTATTCCTCTTCTCCTTTCCCACTTAGTAACCATAAGCTTGTTTTCTACATCTGTGCCTCTATTTCTGTTGTAAACAAGTTCATTTGTACCATTTTTTTTTTAGATTCCACATATAAGTGATATCATATGATATTTGTCTTTCTCTCTCTGATTTCACTCAGTATGACAATCTCTGGATCTTGAAGGTTGTGATTAATTTGTGATAAAAGTCAGAAAGAGGGAATATATTTTCCTCAAATGGTACCTGTATAAGGTAGTGATGTTTGCACTCAGTCCCTCTTAGTGAATAAATAGGAAATTGCTAGCCAAAATGTGTGATTATTCTGTTTTCCTTTGGGCATTAATAGGATAAAAATATCTTGATATTTGGGGACTCCTGTGTGTTTTAATTAGTTTTGCTTTGTTGGTTACCAGGCAGAATTATCAACTACATGGATGTTGGAAATCAAACAGTTGCCTCAGAATTCCTTCTTTTGGGACTCTCAGAAGGTCCAGACCTGTAGCCTCTCCTTTTCCGGCTTTTCCTGTCCATGTACCTGGTCACCATGCTTGGGAACCTTCTCATCATTCTCGCTGTCAGCTCTGACTCCCACCTCCATACCCCCATGTACTTCTTCCTCTCCCACATCTCTTTTTTTCTGATATATTTCTCAATTCCACCTTAGTTCCAAAAATGCTGGTGAACCTCCAGACAGACACAAAATCATCACCTACGCAGATTGCATCACCCAGATGTACTTTTCCTCAGTTTTTGGGTGTTTGGACAACGTACTCCTGACTGTGATGGCTTTCAACAGGTTTGTGGCCATCTGCCACCCCCTGCCCTACATGATCATCATGAATCCCCACCTGTGTGCTCTGCTGGGTCTAGTCTCTTGGTCTCTCAGTGTCTTAGTCTCCCTCCTGCACGGTGTGATGGTGTTGCATCTCTCGTTCTGCACACACAGGGCAATTCGGAACTTGTTCTGTGAATTTGCTGCAGTGCTCAAGTCTGTCTGTTCAGATGCTCTCAGCAATTACATCATGCTGTATTCTGTGACTGGATTGCTGGGAATTCCTTCACTTACTGGGATCCTTTTCTCTTACACCAAGATTATTTCCTCCATATTGAAGATGTCCTCAGTGGAGGGGAAGTACAAAGCTTTCTCCACCTGTGGGTCTCACCTAACAGTCATTTCCTTATTCTATGGGACAGGGTTAGGAGTGTATCTCAGTTCTGCCTTCTCCCCCTCCACCTCAAAGTGGGTAATTGCCTCAGTGATGTACACTGTGTTCATCCCCATGCTGAACCCCTTCATCTATAGCTTGAAGAATAGGGACATGAATAGGGCCCTGAGGAAACTTGTCAGCAGGTCTTTCTTCTCCCTGTGAAGAGTCATGGATGTTGGGACTGGAAATTACTACCATAACCAAAGATCAATGCACTGGCAGTAAGAAATACCAAATCTGAGCTTCTTTGAGTGTATGACTGATGCCTCTTTTTCTGAAATATCATCACTTGACTTTCTTCCAAGTTTTCATATCCAAAAGCAACTGCTCCCAAAGAATTTAAAGACCTTGATTCTGGGAAAGATTGAGGGCAGGAGGAGAAGGGGATGATAGAGGACGAGATGGTTGGATGGCATCACCAACTCAATCGGCAATCTCCAGGAGATGTTGAAGAACAGGGAAGCCTGGCATGCTGCAGTCCATGGGGTCACAAAGTTGGACACGACTGAGCAACTGAACAACAACATTTCCTGTGCAGAAATGTTTATCCTTGGTCTCCTCCTCATTATCATTAGACATATCATGATAATCATGAATTTACCCACCAGAATTGCTCAAATGCAAAAGATTAAAAATATCAAGGGCTGTGATTTCCCTGGTAGTCCTGTGGTTCAGACTCCATGCTTCCAATGCAGGGTGCACATGTCCAATTCTTTACTGAAGAACTAAGATCCCACATTCTATGGGGCCAAAAAACCCCCACAAAAAACCAAAACAAACAACAACAATAAAATAAGACCTTGCAAGGACATGGAGCAATGGGAACTTTCATAGACTACTAGTCAGAGTATAAATGGGTCCAACTAGTACTAAATCTAAACATACTCCTACACTACAGTGTACTTCTCCTACACCACTGTATATACCTAAGAGAAATGTATGGTTACATCCAGAAAACATGCCTAAAAAGGTTTACAGCAGTTTTCATGATAGCACTAACCTGGAAATAATTCAAATGCCAATCTTGGTAGAATGAGTAAATAAACCATGGTATACCACACTAAAGAAAACTCCAATATGAAAAGAACAAATTGCTGCAATGCACAAGCTAGACAAGCCTGAAGGACATAGTTTTGAGTGACATGAAAGTGCATATATCACATGCGTGTGTGAATGCTAAGTCACTTCAGTTATGTATAACTCTTTGCGACCCTATGGAGTCCTCCAGGCTCCTCTGTCCATGGAATTCTCCAGGCAAGAATACTGGAGTGGGTTGCCATGCCCTCATCCAGGGGATCTTCCCAACACAGGGATCAAACCTGCCTCTCTTATGTCTCCTGCATTGGCAGGTGGGTTCTTTACTACTAGCGCCACCTGGGAAGCCCAATATATTACATGATCTCACTTTTAATGAAATCTAAGCTGACAAAGCCAACTGATGAGACAGGAGTCAGAACACTGGATACCTTGTGGCAGGGACCCCAAAAGAGCATCAAGACATATTCTAAGTGATTAAAGTGTTTTTTTTCTCAATCTAGATGAGTAGCTACATAAGCATATACATCAGTAACATTTTTCATGCATTTAAGATTTGTGCATGGTATTATGTCATACCTCAATTAAATAAAAGAGGTTGTGCCAATTTTATTATGCATTGACATGGTGTTTACAGAAAACTGCCTCTTCAAATATTAATATATGTAATTCAAAATTAAGTTTTCTAGATGAAGTCTTAATTCAAATAAAGTGTATATAGTTCTTAATGAGGAAAAAATTTATCTCATTTGCCTAAATACCTTTGATTGTATTGATAAGGACCTATCTGAAACCTTTTATTAAATTTCTTCTTGTCCTGTTCCTCACTTATACTCTTCCATACTCTTTGCTAAAGTCTAGACTACATGCTCTCTGTGAGCTATGACCTGTATTTGGCCTACTTTGGTCTGAGTATGTGTAGCAAGTATGTAGGACAATGGAGACACTCACATACCCACTAATCTGGGCTACCTTGTGAGAATAAATTTGGACTACAGTCACAGATTTTAATCACAGAATCTTAGAGCTGGAAAAGTCCTTGTGTCATTCACATAACTTAATAAATTTTTTTTAATCAAGAGGATGTATTTTCTTGAGCAAGAGTGAATTTCTAGGAATGGATCCATTGATGCCAAGGACTGTTTTGGAAAGGAAAGATGAGTGCCTTATAGACCATATCTGTATTGAATTGTTTACATAACATGTTATGGAAAAACCTGAACAAACTTTTTGGCCAACTCAATAGTTCTGTCTGGGAAAACATGTGCCACTGATTTTTTTTTAAAACACTTTATTTTATATTGGTGTATAGTTGATTAAAAATGCTGTGATAGTTTCAGATGTATGGCAAAGGGATTCAGTTATACATATACATGTATCTATTCTTTCTCAAGTTTTTCCCCACTTATGTCATTACGTAACATTGAGCAGAGTTCCCTGTGCTATATGTATGTCCTTTCTGGTTATCCATTTTAAATAGAGCAATGTGCACATGTCTATCTCAAAGTCCCCAACTATACCTTCTACCCTACTCCACTTGCTCCCCTCCCCTGCCCCCGGTAACCATAAGTTCATCCTCTAAGTCTGTAAATCTATTTTGTAAATAAGTTCATTTATATCATTTCTTTTTAGATTCTTCATATAAGCATTATCATGTGATTTTTGTCTTTCTCTGTCTGATTTACTTCACTTAATACGACAATCTCTAGGTTTGTCCATATTGTTGCAAAGGATATGATTTCATTCTTTTTAGTGGTTGAGTAACATTCCATTGTATATATGTACCACATCCTCTTTATCCGTTCTTCTGTCAGTGGACATTTAAGTTGCTTCTATATCTTCTGTGCTGCTGTAAACAGTACTGCAAAGAACATTGAGATGCATGTATCTTTTCAGACTATGTTTTTCTCTGGATATGTTCCCAGGAGTGGGATTGTTGGATCATAGCTCTAGTTTTAGTTGTTTAAGGAATCTCCATACTGTTCTCCATAATGGCTGTACCAATTTACATTCCCACCAGCAGTGTAGTAGGATTCCCTTCTTTCTGTACCCTCTCCAGCATTTATTGTTTGTGGATTTTTTGATGATAGCCATTTGGACTGGTGTGAGATGGTATCTCATTATAATTTTGATTTGTGTTGTTCTAAGTAGCAATGGGAAACATCTTTTCATGTGCCTCTGTATTATTGATCTCTGCAGCAGGTCTTCACATCCTTGACAGAAACTCTAGATTTCCCCATTAGTATTTGTTATGGGCTAAATATTTGTGTCCCCCACCACATTCGAGACTTGAAACCCTACCTCTAATATGATGGTATTAGAAAGTGGGGCTCTTGGGAGATGATTAGGATTTGAGGTCACAGGGATGGAGCCCTCATGGTGGGATTCTTACTCCTATGAGAGTCATGAGAAAGCTTGTTTTTCTCTCTGCTCTCTGCCCTGTGAGGGCACGAAGAGAAGTGGACAGTCTACAAACAGAAGAGTCTTCTCTAGAACTCAATGATCCTGGAACCTAGATCTCAGACTTCTGGCCTCCAGAATTATGAAAATTACGTTTTCATTCTTTAGAAGCCCCTCAGTTTATGGTATTTTGTTACAGCAGTCCAGACTGTCTAAGACAGCTCTCTTTTCTTCAAGTAAATGGATGCATTTGTATAACCCATCCATTTTGTGATATTTCCCAAATAAATAACAGTTTCTCTCTACACTCTGATTTGCCACGTTTCTTATTTATCAAAATTGTAACAAGTAAGGCTCCCATATCTTTTCTCGATAAGTTGCTTCTAATCCAGGTTTTCACTATAATGGCTTTGTGATATTAAGAATCTGAACCTTCACATCCTACTTGAAAACAATTACTTATTTGTCTTCTGAATAGGTTCAGGGTTCAAATTCAAAAGTTTTGAGAAGATAGACCAAGGAAAACATCTATCTCATCCTCATAAAAGAAGGAAGGAAGGCAAGAGGGAAGAAAGGGAGGAAAATACACTGAGTTTATTCTTGGAAAGGCTGAGTTTGATGTGCACACAAAACACCCCACTGGTAATTTCCACTTGGCAATGGAATGTGTTGGTCAGGTGTTCCGTCTAAATGAAGGCGGCAGGGGGAAACAAACTCATCTCCCTCCACTGTTGCTTACACAGATGCAGCACTGACTGGAGAATTTCCATTCTCTTGCCTCTTGTACCAGGACGCAGTGAGTGCACTTCCTCAGATTGTCCCCGTCTTTTGGTGTCCCTCGGAAGGTCCATGACAAGTGGCCAAGGCGACCAGGTTGGAAGATGCTTGCGTTTGGGGAAATATGAAAGGAGCCGTTGTCTTAGTGGGAGAGCTAATGATGGTTGGTAACGGAGCTCCGCAGTGAGGACCCTAGGCTGCCACGCCGGCTGGGCTGCGGGGAGCAGCTGTAGCCAGCCCCGGCCTGGGATGGGCACATGGGGTTCAGAGTGCTGCTTTCTGAGCTTCTGCTTGTTCTGGTAGGTGTTGGTGAGGGTGGGGGCGCTCTGCAGTCTAGCGCCCAACAGGACAGGCTGTGGTGACTGGGCCTGAGACACGGGAGAACCTGATGAGTTCCTACTGCTGGATTCATGGCCCGAAGGATGCCCGCAGCAGCACTGACCGAATGGCTCAGGAATGGTGCCCACCAGAGAAGGTGAGCAAAGCATGGAAGAGCCAGTGGAGAGTCTTGTCTTACGTCCGGAACCGCGTCTGCCGGCGCCAGGGAGCAGGATCCCGGCTGGCGGAAGCCCAGAGGGCTGGTGTTAGACCTTTGTACCACTGGATCATGGAGAGCCGTGGAGATTTGTGCCGGAGCCGGCATTGGAAGTGAGCTTCTGCTCTATGTGCTGGTAGTTCCTCACCTGTGTGGGGACAGGCATGGTGGTAGCTGCGCTGTGCGGGGACATGGAGGGCTGGCACTGCCCTCCACACACCAAGAACTCATTAGAAGCATGTCTGCCAGCAGTTCCCATAGGCATATCATACGAGTGGTCTGATGAAACGTGTGGAACCAAAAGAAAGTCATCCGTGTCACAAGAAGAGTTCTTGCTACTAGTACTGGCAGAATCTTTGGACATCTGGACAAGTGGGGAGGATGTTTTCTTCCTGAATACACTGCATATCTGGAA